AAGTTTAGAGCGAAAAAATGCCGCGAAGTTCAATCTTGACAGTGTACTGAATAGAATTTTTAATGGTGCGAATTGAACAAAAAAACCGCCCTCTGATACAGGGGAGGGAGGAGAAAGGGAAGAGGTAAGGAGAGTGGGCGCTATCGCGTGATTCCCACAACACGAAAATAATCAGCCTGGCATTTTAATTAAAAAATGGATAGCGCAATTATCAAAAAGTGCTAGCTAGAGTGTTACCTTTGCTTATTGTGCATCGAAAATAAAAATATATGAGCACAGATTGCATCGGTAGACCAACAATAAGATGAGGGGTTAGTTACCATTACGTAGTTGCCATTTAGAGAGCTAGCGTGCAGCATAGATTTGAAGTAGATGGAGAAACTCTTGAGCACCCTTATGCGACGAGTTCACAAATAGCTAAGTACCAATACACGACAGTTGAATAATTGAAGGAAGTGGTAACTATGCAAGCGAAAGCCACGTCTTGACTGATCTATTCAAAGCGTGTTGAATCACCTAGACAAAACCGTTCGTTTTTTACTATATTTTGTTTATTTTTCTTGCACCAATTGATATTGCTGTTATACAATTGTCACGCTTATGGAGCAATTTTACGCCTACACTGATCTTCAAAGGGGCAAAGAAGAAGTAACAAAGATGGTAATCAGGCTGTTAGATGCTAAAAACGATTTTGCTTCATAAAAGTAAGCTCTACCTCTTCGACGAAGCCAGAACCGCTGTAAGAGGAAGAAGGACCATATACTTACTTTTTTAGATACTTAGATGACCTGTCTTCACTCGTCGTGCAGGCCCCAACATTGTGTCCATCCGTTTCTGTCTCTCCCTAGCGTCATCCACCATGTTGGTATTGAAGTGCGCTGGGGACGTTTGCGAGGTCAAGATCCATTATTGGTTAGCAGCTGAGAATTCTGCTGGTCCATCCGCAACGAACACGTCACCCCATCTGGTCGGTGGCCTCCCTCAAAGACGTTTCGTTCGCGAGGGATCAAGAGTTCTTAGTGTCCATCTTTCGTTGTCTTTCTCATGATATGACCAGCACATCGATGCCTTAGAGACGTATTCCGCTCGATCAAGAAGACGAGACGTTGGTCTCATATCTGTACTGCGAAATCTGACAAGATGTTGAGTGCGTCGGGTGTACTTCAAAAGACGTAAAACCTTTCTCCTGACAGGCCGCTTTTTGCATTCACCCATGATGAACTTGTAGAATTCCTTTACGAATATCTTCCTCCAAAACGTCATAAAAAGCATAAAGTTCGAAGACATCAGCTGCTAATGTTGGAGATTAGCAGTTGATGATAGTAATGATTCACAGATGCAGACGATATAGTCGAAGAGTAGCCAGGCGAGGTGATAGGATCTCATAGATGAGTACGACAAATCCACACCTCCAACGTTTCGTGATGGTACTTTCCCATCAGAATGATGAGTGTCCATCACTTAACTGCCTCACATCCATCTTCCCTGACTTTGTCTCCTGCAAGGCGATTACGTAGCTGATGCACCCTGCAGCAGAGAAGGGCGTGGAAGAACGGCGTTGGTGGAGACTGTCCTGGCGTTGTAGGTGCAGAGCAGGAGATTATCTCTATGGTGAGTCGTTGACGTCCTTTTGGTCCGAAA